ATTCTATAAACCTGGTAACAAGGATAATACTACTGAAGCAGAGGCCAAGAAAAGGGAATCTTGAGGCCAAGATATAAGGACAGAGCAATGGCAGCCAAGACACTTAACAGTGGCTGCAAATGATTGGGTGTCAACAAGATGTGTATCAGGGTAGTAAGCCAAAGGTATTAGTAGTAGCCTTGATCAGCTTGCATTTGACAGATTAGTGCATGTAAGTCCAATATTGTTTTTTTTTCATTATAGATTAAATTCAACAAGATATTAGCAAGTGCAGCAGAGGTTCTGATACTTGATAGCAGTTTAGTTATCGTGAACCTTTATAGCAATTTCGAAATTGTAATTCAACATAAAAATTTGTTCTTATACAATATAAAATAAAGCACTCATTTAGCAGTGATTGAAGTGAACACTTCACACTCAAATCAGCAATAAACGATATAATCAAACAATTCACAAAGCTTTACAATCAAACTCAGTGACAGTCATTCGTACATAATGCAGAAAGACAGAGCACCACAGAAAGCTAACCTTATTCCATAATCCTCACCGAGAGCTCTCTTTTGCTGTTGTTCAAAACCTATAACATTATAAGCAAACCAGTCAAATTACAGAGGGCAATCGAATTTGTACAAAAATCTCTTTCTTGCAGCTAAAGTACATGATAAGAGTCTCTAATTGTAGGAACTAAGCATGCACCGACAAAATTAAGGGAGGAACTGAAAAAATTTAAGGGGGGGAGGGAATCTAACCTCAAGCTAAACCACCAAGAGTAGCTACGATTAAGGAACATTCTAAGATGCTTAGCATAAAGCCAGGAATAAATATCCCAATCCTAGAATGTGAAAAGGGAGAAACTAATACTCAGCCGTTTAGGCATTAACATACCAACATTTTGGCTATTTAATTGAGGCGTAATAAATGACAAAAAATTGGGTAATTTCAGAGCTGAGCTCGGATGAAAGGGGAAACAATGAGGCAGATCATTTTAGACAAAAGCAAAAAGGGAAAATTTAATCCCTGAAACTGAAAGGGGATAAACTGAACCATGTTAGTGGCTGTTAAATTCATATATAAATGACAGAGAAATAGGTTCCAACCAAAGCTTTAACATTGATGAGAGTTCAGTGACCATTCACTTTTTTTTTTTTCGGCAACGATGGATGTTGTATAACCTACTCTAGCCTAGTCTAAGGAAAGGGGCAGAGGGATGGTCAACTAAGACCAGCCATATATTGTGGCCAAATTTTGGGAGGCAGGGGTTGATCCCCTGACCTCCAGCATCACCATTATGGTGATGACTACTGGACCAATTGGCCAGTGGCTTCAACGACCATTCACACGTTTCAGACAAAGCAACATTCTCAAATGGTTATCTGTATCTCAAAAGTCACATTGTTGTTAACTAAGGGACATTCTAGTAATTATACTAACACACAAGCATATATGTGCTGTACAAAATGCATAAACGGTTCCACACTAATTACACATTTCCTAAATACCCAGATGTCTCATCAATCAGAAAATTAAATGTATAAAAATGACGTCATTTTGGTAAACATACCTAAAGAAATGCTTCCTTCACTTGTACCTAAAGCTTTTAAAATAATACACAACATTTCACATTCCTAAAAAGCCCCTACCCATGCGGTTGAAATTCAACCCACTCTTTGATCAAAACTCAATCTTATATAGTATAAGGATTAGTAACACATGAGGACATTAAACAAAAAAAAAAAAAAAACTATTGATGTCTTACAATTCATTAAAGTATGAAATTTTTGTTATGCACTAGAGAGTGAACTACAACTGGAAATTGCAGAAGCAGTTTGATCTCGTCATTTTTGTCTAACATTTTGTTGTTTCTGAATTTTGATGTATAAATTGCTCATGTAGGCTTGTTTCATCAGTATAGTGATGTTCTTTATCTTGGAATAACAATATCGGAGCTTACCAAAAGGAAAAAAAATCTATAAAATGCTTTTTTATTTGTGGTCATTGTTAAATCGACGGATTATATGTCCTTGTTTGTTTTGTTAACAATTGTAATCAAATTGCTTATTAACACGTGTATGAACTTCTAGGAATTAGTGTGAGTAAAAACAACATTTTTTTTATAATATCCAATACCTATAAAAAAATTTCTTTTGAGTCAATTGGGGACACATCTACAAATTCATGAGATGAAAACGAATTTTCCTAAAAAGGCAAATGACATTTGCACTTCAAAACAATCCTTGCCACTTAATATTCTTCATGTAATAAAACATTATACTAGAGTGCCAAAAGCTGCTCTTAAAGGGCTAATATCACTTATCGTAGAGAATTTCACACCTAATCTAACATTTCCTTTTAGTGATTCGCCAATCTTTTCAAGGCAGACCTATAGTTGGATTGTAATTGTCTAATAAAAATTTTTACGTTTTTCATAAATATATTTTTCAATCACCTTTATAGTTTACATGCATTAAATCTTTACATTATATTTTTATATAAAGCTCTAAAAAAAAAAGCAATCCAAACAGGTTGCTTCACATTTTTCTATGAAAAATTAAAGAAATAGCAATCCAAGGCATGAAGTCTTTTGGGTGTGCAAATGGCTCTGCCCCAAAAACACTCCTCTTTACTGAACTTTGAGACAGACATTTGGATCAGGCCAATGTCCTTTTGGGCTGGAGTCTGTTCATCAAATCAGACATTTGGATCATTACGTTCTTATCAAATTGGATCTACGTGTAAATGGGACATGTAAGCCTTATGCAGCCGCATGAATTCAGGACCAATTAGCTATGGCCATAATGCAGGAAACAGTAGCCCAAAATTTTACATAAATTGATTTGGACATTTGGATCCTTTCTTTTTTTTTTTTTGAAGAATCTACTGGTCTTGTTTTAATGTCCATCAACAATATTGATGTATTTGGGTATAGTATAATTATAACATCCATTTTTGTCTATTATACACTTCAAATTTAGTCATCTGTAAATCTAATTTTTTTTATTATCATCCAAATATAAATCTAAAGTCTTTATGTCAATCTAAAATGTCCCTCTTTTTTCTTTCGAGATTTGTTGAGAAACGACTTTAAAAAAGAACTGCTGATAGCAATTTCAAAGTCTTGTATGGGGAACGAGAAATTGAAAATTTTCCTTCTAAGGTTTCTAGGCGATTTTTTTTTTTTTTTGGAAGAAGTTTCTTGGGGATTTGAAGACTAAGGTGAATACTGGGTAGGTAACATATGACTCCAAAAAAAAAAAAAAGATGCGAGCTAGAAGTAACCTGCCATAGCAAATTCCTTAGGTCCATGTCTTATTTCGATGGCAGTATGCTTTAGTGGTACGTAAAACATTTGACAAAAATTCACCGTTGTCCTTTATATATATTTTTTCCACATCCTTGTAGCCTAGAGTTTTTTTTTTTTTTTTTTTGTTGAAAAAAATCAAGTCACAACCAACCAAAAAGAATTCTACTGTCAATGAGATTTTTGTAGCATTGTGTTATCAGCCAAGTTCTTTATAATGCCTTTGTTCTACAAACATATTTAACAATGTCTAGTTTTAGCAAGTTCCTCTAGGGCACGGCACTCAATTTCAAAATTTTGCTTTGAAATCTGTTTCTAGGAACATGCTTCCATCGTCACATGAAAATTCCCATGTCTCTCAATCTTAATTTGTAAACCTTGAGCTGAAATTTGCTCAAAATTGAATGAACAAAGTGGCTGGCTCCTCACAACACATGGGCAGACCACAGAAAAATGAGAGGATCATGTCAACAATTAATGCAGAAATATTATGCAGTGTAAAGTTGATATTGAATATTTTTATGCAAATGATAGGCTGTCCAATATTCTTATGTTCCATCTATCTTTGTACATAACGGTGACTTTATCGTCTTTGTAAGGAATAAGGTTCCTTTAGGAAGTAGCTTTTATCATTTTACAAGTAATATTGCCTGTCCACATATTATTACATGCTTCGATCTCATAGTATATATAATATGGTTGGAAAAGAAGTCGAGGAAAGGTCATCCCACATGCAGCATAGAAGTATAGAACCAACACCTTGACTTCTAACATCTTGAAAATAAAAAGCAGGGAATTTTACGATGAAATAAATGCTTATTTTTTAGAGTAAATCTTTCCTACATTGACGGTGTATACACTATCATCGTTGAATTTATGATACACGTGTAAAAGTTGAATTTTAAATTCAAATTTTGCATAGTTGTCAATCATCCAACGCTGATAGTGTATACACTGTCAGTGTAGAAAAGATTAATCATAATATTTATGGGATTGTTTAGGACGTGTTGAGTTCAATGAAGAGCCGGTCTAAACCATGGTAGAAACCATTTTTCCATCAAAGTTGTGTCATTTTTTATTGAGAATCTCGTGTGTATTCTTTGATCATTTTACCAACCCCTTTTTTGGAAGAAATAAAAGAACAAGAGCATCTTATACATTAGAGGAGACAACCATTCTTTTTAGAGTAACATATATACATGTAGTATTATTATGTAGTTTATAAAAAGCTAACAATTATTGAGAGTTTGAGCATGCAATTATATGATATTAGTACCATAAAGCTACAAGATGAGGCTTCTAAATACCTAAACCATGGGGCCCTAAATTGGACCCTCCACATGCAATGTGATATTTGTCTTGTAGATTAAGCCAATACCAAATATACATATCTAGATGAGACAGTCCATGTCACACTCCTATTTGCTTAATGTCTAACCCCAATTACTAAACATATGACCTTTATTTTTCTGTCTTTGGTGACTTTCATGCACCTAGAAGCGTAAGCAATCCGCTCTTCAAGACTTCATCATCATTCATTTTCTTTCTTTCTTTCTACCTTCTTCTTCTTTCTACACCAAGAATAGTCACCAATCACTACACCGACCATCAATTTTAGTCATCAAAACCAATCAGCTAAAAAACATTATCAAGCCCCATCAAGGTCAGTTTAATTTCCAGTGGCTAGCTAGCCAGGATCAAAATGTTGCGGTTGGCAGTAATTTTGGTCATTTTTGCTCTAGCAGTTCCAATTAATGGACAGGCTCCAGGGAGCCCTGATGAAGGAAACAAGTGTGGAGGCTGTCCTTGCAACAATCCATGTCCCGTGCCTTCACCGCCACCGCCGCCGCCGACACTGCCTCCACCCCCTCCGGCGCTGCCTCCGCCACCACCGCCTCCCAAGAAGCCGCCTACTCCAGCCTGCCCTCCTCCCCCTGGTTCATCAGGCTGGCCCGTTGTGCCCACTCCACCTTCTCAGTACATATATGTAACAGGTCCACCAGGGAATTTATATCCTGTTGATGCTAATTTTTCGAGGGCTGCCCGGAGCTTCACTGTTGGATTGCCATTTATATTGCTGGCTGGAAGCATACTTCAGCTAGCTTTGTGGTGAAGATATATGATCAAATTGTTGTAGGATTCAGAATTTCCAGGTGAAGATTCTAAGCAGATGCAGTTCATGAGGCAGAGATTCGGATTCTAATGACGAAGACTTTTATGGATGAGAAATGTTTGTGATCCTTTAGACCATTGCTAGCTTTACCTTAGCTATCTTCAAATGTGTAATAATCCTTGCCCTTTTCTTTTGCGATGGTGAGAAATTATTGAAATGTCACGAATAACCCTGTTCTTTATGATTGATTTCATATGGGCTGATAATCTGATCAAAGTTTATTATGTTATCCCCTCATTTTTCTTTGTTTTCTTGGACATTATTTTCCTTAATTTTGTTCCATTGCAAGTTAATCTTTTCTTTTCTTCTTCTTCTTCTTCTTTTTTTTTTTTTTTTTTTTTTTTTGTGGGAGGGATGAGATCAGTCAATACATTTATATTGACTTGAGGAAATGCTAGTCATGTTCTGATTATTTATTTTTGTTTCTTTTCCATCAATAGCATTAGGTATATACCCAATTTATAGGCTACGTTATGCATAAGATGCGTAGCGTAAGTGCAATGTTTGCTACCAGAAAATGAAGGTAACCAACATCCAATACGTTTTTGGTATAGAAACAGACCAATACAAAGGGAAATAACAGAGTGCATAATTGCCGTCAAGTCTCAAATTTATTGATGATAGATCGTTATCATTACATGTAAGAGCCAAGTTTTAGTTGAGCACTCAAGACTTAATAATGAAAGCAACATATTATCCACCAGCTTGCATTTCCACTGGCGTCTCAATAGAAAAGTTAAGCTCCTTTCGCTTTTGGGTCCACTATTATTCAATTACTTAGGGTCCTCCTATGCTATATCAATTAGTTGATAACCTTTAGTTTAAGTTCGATTTATTACATTTCTTGTTTCTCGTGTTCGTTTCCTTGCATTGATGGGAAATTCTATCGTTCCTTTTGGATATCATATTCATGATTGTAATTCAATAAACTCTCGTCACATCATTCAATAACAATTTCAATACCTCTTTTTATAGATATCCAACAGTGAATTAATACGTAACGATGAGACGTACAAAAGGTATTATAGAACTTCCCAGTACGGAGATCTAGTATTAAATACAAAAATTTGTCTTATACTACTATTATCAACTCACCAACTTCTTCTTCAAAGTTCAAAGAAATGAGATAACCTTGAAGCTTTTTTGAAACTAATTGAACACGTAATCTAGGCTGCTTGAAAACAGTGGAGATTTTGGACGGTTGGAGAGCAATGAAGAATTGGTCAATAGCGATACCAGATTCAAATGGAAAAGTCAGATTGAGAGACGCTCATATTGTGGAATTTTCTTCATCACAGTGACCTACAATAATTTGACAACCTTCTCTATATATAGAGGTGACAGCTGTTTGGGCTGAATAATAATTCTTGTGACTATGATTTGACTAGAATATGGTAACGGATTGTTTCAGATTAATCAAAAAATGTAGCAGAGAATAAAATAAAGAAAATGATTTGAAAAAATAAAGATAACGTTACATTGGACTTGTTCTAGACTGGGGAAAATTTCACATGATCATTCCTCTGATGTAACAAAGAGACCTTGCATACAAAAGAATACAGCAACAACAGGCTCTTGTAACTGACTCGTTGGTAAGATAAATATGATGGGAATATTCATATTTGCAGCCTTTCTAAAAAGGAAGCAAAGCTACAATCCCTTTGATGTACAAAAAAAAGAAAAAAAGGTCCCCATACCCATACTTAAAGCTTAGCAATTTTATGCCAAAGTTTCATGTCACCGTCCACAAGGTTCCTTTCCTTGTGACAGAGAATTTGCTCGCTCTTTCTTGAGGAGAATATTAATGGTCCCATGAAAAAAAACCAAGGCGACTGGGCATTCCCAAATTTATCCTGTGGGGAAATGTAAGAAGGTTCCAAAAGAAAACCTCTTTACCATCTGATTTTTCTGTCAGAGTTTGTCAGTGCGTAGAAAGCAGTAGCGATATCAACATTGGAAACGAGAACCTGGGACCCAAATTTGACACCAAGATGGGACTCCACCATTGCTTCTCCTTCATGTGTCAAACCACCATTTGTTTGTTGGGTTATTACTCATCCGTTGATCCGTCAGCATCGCGCTGGTAGTTTTCTAAGCCTACCAATTTATTTCAACCTTGTATGGTTTGGCACCTCATGATTTCGTTGATTATTATCCAAACTTCTTGTCTTGGAAGCAAATCGATATGGGGTTGATGTAGCTAATTAACAACAACTAATCTTCGAGTTGATTTGATCTTAAACGAATCGGTAGTTGTTACTTGTAATTATGTTACAGTTTCTTTCTTACATGCGGGACCCTAATTGTTAAATTTATCTCACAGGAAAAAGGCAAAGAATGATGATTCCAACTTTTTCTGCCATGTGGAGGAAGCCCAATTGAAAGGAGTAAAGAACAGGCAAAAGGTGTTTTTATGTTCAAATGGTTTTAGTTAGTAGTCAGTGTAGTTACTCTCTCTCTCTCGATTGATAGAGAGGACATTTTTGATGTTTTGCTATTTCTAGCTGAAGATAACCTACCTACAATCATTTTGTTCTTGGGTAGAGTAAAACACACCAAAAAGGAAGCAGGCTAAGAAAGAAAGAAGCTCCCATCATACAACAGGATGAAATTTTCTGCCAGACAATAATACTCTATTGCGTGCTCTTTTAATTTTCCCTTCTACAAGCACAATTGGCACATCTATATATATATATATATGTATATAGCATCGCTTCTTTGGTTAACGTGTAAGTGATGTAAAGCAACTTTACAACTACTAATTTACACTCCATTTTGAAATCTTTGAATGCATCCAGGATGGATGGATTGATTCTCAAGGGCAGAGGGGCTGTCCACCCAGTGATTTCTGACTAAATTGTTTGGATGGTAGATTATTTAGAATAATTTTTTGAAAGTACCACTTTTTTTTTTTTTTATGTGATGTATATGAGATATTAAAAAAATGTGTTGTTGAGGCAAGCAGATAAATTTTTTTGCTAATAATTCACTAACCAAACAAACCTACTAAAAATCAGTAATCTCGTCTTAAACAGGCTTTGTGTAAGCACTTGAAATGCTCATCCTAGTATAGATATAGACATTGTAAATGAGGGAAAACATCACAGCAGCAAATGCAAGAATCTCAAGGGTATAGACCCGTCATAATGCAATTGCACATGAGAAGAAGAACATGACTATGTACGAACCCATGTTTGATTTGTCTAATGATATACTGTGGATTATAGTTATTAAACCAGGCCGGTCATCAACCTCGCAAGGAGACCGCCTCGATAATTATACTGTGGATCATAGTGGTTCAACCGCAGATCAAACCAATGATATATTTGAGTTTTTAATCAAATTGGTGGTTGAATTGGCATGGTTTTCATTTTTTACAGTTGAACCAACGGATGATTGACTTTTCAAACGATTTCTCTCTTATCCGATCTAATTATCAACTCAATCCGATTAAGTGACTTGTTTGTCGGTCAATGTAATCGGACTGGTTCAAAGGTCGACCAGATGAACCGTCAAACTGGTCCAAGTTTAATAACCATGCTTTGAAGTGACCAGAATTGAAACTTCTTTGCCCTTTAAAGGTTGCTAAATTGTCCAATCTTGGATCATTTCTTTTGTATTTTACTAGCAATTTGGTGGTTGCGTGAAGAGTTTTGTAAGATAAAGAAAACAAGGATTTGGCTTGCCAACTACGTGCGTTGAACCAGAACGTTTTGCGCCTTCCTTGTTGGCACCGTTCTCCTCGTGTACTTCCCATACGAAGACACGTTGAGCCGATTAGATCCAAATTTTGACGATCTCCAGAAAATAAAAGCACGAATCCAGCAACTACCCTTAGAAGACCCAAAATACGGATTTCATATACAAAGCTGTAACCTAAAAATTAACAATTCAAAAAAAAAAAAGGGATTAATTTTATGTACACTGACAGACAGTGTATTCACTATTATGTTTGGATGAATATCACATATGTTGAATTTGAATTTCAAATCTAAATTTTATATATGTGTCATTCATCTAATCATGATGATATATATATACCTGACAGTGTATATAAAATTACCCGAAAAAAAAAAAAAAGCATATGGAGCCTTTATTTTCATATGAAACTCAAAAGTAACAAGTGTGCGCTTCAGCGTCTTCATTGTTATCTTCTACTTCTCCCTAATATAAACTTGCACGGTCCTTGTCATCAAGGGAGTGTCCTATACATCAGGCCAGGGATGCAACAGGATATCACAAGCTTAATGAGAGGACCACTCCAAAGTCACCTAGCATCATGTACACACACCACGACAGTCTCCTTCGTCCACAAAAGAAACAGAAAGATACACGAGAGATATAATAGTTAAATGGTGGCAAAACACTCAAGATTCCAGCATAAAGAGCAAACCATGGCATGGCATTCAATAATTTTACCACTTGATTGCTTCAAAACAAAAGTGTCAAAACAAACTCAGAAATGAAAAGAAAATAATAATCTAATTCCCTATGGAAACAATTGCACGGAAAGTGGAATAAAAGAATCCCAAACCAAAGGCTGACAAAAGGCAGCATCTACATATGTTTCACAGCCCAAAAGAACACACAACCAAGAAATGATTCGAGAACGAGAACCAAGCATTGAGCTTTTTGGAGTATATGGGTTTCGGTTGGGGTGGGGGTGGGGTGGAGAGGGGGCGGGAAGAGGGCAGCCAGAAGTTGCTTCTTGTAGATGCCCAGCTGACTGAGTTCACAATATACACAGGCATCATATACATGTCTAGGCTTGAAGAAAACCAAAAGGGAAAATAAATCAGAGAAAGTCTTAGCAATTAAATTTTTGTGAATTTGTGTGTTAGATTATATGTAACAAAAAAATACAAGCTATTCTATGCCTTCTGTATTGAAGCCGAGGTAATCATTGTACTTCATAAGAGAAATCCAGTTATCATCTTTAA